CTCGCCGACGCCACACCACCTATTCAGGTCCAATGAATCCTGCGGAGCTGGTCTCCGGCATAACAGGTATTCAATAACATTTGTTGAATGAATGAATGAATGACTGAATAAGGGAGACTCTGTTCCTTAAACAAATATGGGTCATTCAGTCTAGTTTGCCATTAATATGTAAAGTAGTAACCTACTGATAGAAGGATGGTTGGAGACTTCTGGACTGGATAGTGACTTTTTTAGAAAGAAAGGAATTTGGAGGAACATGCAGGAGCTGGGGAGTGAAATTGAGTGTGAGTTAAGGGAAAAGAATACATGAATTCACCCATGTTTTGGAATGTAAGAAGAAGCCAGAAAAGCATCTAAAAAGTAGAATCAGATTATAAACAAATGTCACATTTGTTAAATTTCTGTAACTTAATCCTACCTGTGAGTTTTGCTCTGTCTCCCTTTATATCAATAAACCCTTCAAACAGATAAACCAAAAAGGTCAACGACAACCAAGAAATAGAAAACGATGGGTACTGCATTCTGAACCAAAGGAAGAATCCAAAGAAATAGGAGAAATAAAGGATTTTAAAAGGAAAGAAGGAGGAAAGCATGCTGGTACACTGGGGCCTCAGAAGAAAGGAAGAACCCCAGGAACTGAGGAATAATGACTGCCCGAACACAAGGGCAGCTTAGCGACAGCACCGAGAGAAGACATGCATTGCAATTCTCCATGGAGTAGCCGGGACAAAAGAACATCCCAAGTATGACAGAAAGCATGGCTCCATCACCCTCTTCTCACTTGCCATCATCTCCCAATCCCAGCACTTGCTTAATCCTGCTGGTTTCACACTTCAGTAATATTCTCAAGTCAGATTTTTCTTCCCAATTTCTATAGCCGTTATTCTCGTTTAAGGCCTTGGCATTTTCCCACAGGACATTGCAGCTACCATGCCACTCTCTCTCCAGATTCACCTCCCTCCCATCTATCTTACCACAGTCTCCAAGTCAAATTGGACCACTCAACTTTTCAGCTTAAAGCCCATTAGAGACTCTTCTCCAACCTATGTGAATGAGGTCCATTCAAGATATATTTTCAAACCATTCTCTAACAATGTGCACACATGTTCACAAAAGGCCTAACTGTGAACTCCATAAGTACAGGAGCAATGCCTATCTTATTCATATCTGAATGACAAACAGCTAGCATAGTGCCTGTGCTCTACAAATATTTTTTATTTGTGTTTCACAAACAAATAAAAGTAGAAAAATCATGATATAAAACTATCCAGAATGCAATTCTTATCATATAGAATGTAAGTTTATATACACCCAGGAAACATCAGAAGAATATACTAAAACATTATTTTTATTTTATTTATGCCTTTTTAGGGGGTGATTTTCACAATGAAAGTTTTTTTTCCCCCTGATGCTGAAATTAAAAAAATGTAAGCAAAAACCAAAGGAAGTAGAACATAACCATGCCCCTGACAAAGCAGATAGCAGTGCGGGACATAATGGCAAGCATAACATCCTCATCATGCCACACGAGATCCTCCAGTTTCCAGCCCTGCCTCTGCCCCACATCCTGCAACTTCTCTGCCACCCAGG